GACCATGGGGACCCCTTTGCCTAAATCTATTTTGTTGAGATGCTTTCACACTAGTATCAGATGACTCATCAACACGCATGGCATCCCTAGTTGAAGGCAACTGGATTCTTCGTGGAACCAGGGAGGTAACAACCGCCGGGACCCTTGTTGCATTTGGATTAGAAGTTTCAGGACTACTCCTTGACCTACTGTTAGATGAACTAGGATCAGAAGGGGGAGAAATGCCTGACATCTTGACCCAAACTCGGCTGAACTTTTGCGCTCAACTGCAACGATGTGATCCAACGCGAGCTTTGCTCAGCGTCCCAAGCAAAAGTGTGCAGTGATGGGACAAAGACCAATGCAGCACAATACTACCTCAACCAACAAAGTCTTCGCAAGTTGGATATTAAGATAATAAAGTGCTACTGAAATTAATTCAGGCTGTGTTGAAGTTCGGATGAACTATGGCTTCGCTAGCGGTAATGACCCTAGCTCTGACCACAGAAACAACACGGAACTAAAAACAAAAAGGCAAAAGGCAATTGGACAATGGACACTTGGCAAACGACAAGGACAGACCGACGAATGTAGCGAGCAAGCTCAGCTACCTCGGCGTTGAAAGCCTATCGGATGCTGTAGAGCCGCTGGACTTGTGCCAGGGCCTACCAGAGTGTGCGATCGTCCTGGCCCCCAAAATTGGGGTAAAACTGATTGGTCCTAAGAGGAACTGGGCGGCGAGATTCCAGGATCTGGGCGACCCCTTCAAGACGTAACCAGTCCTCTACCTCCGCAATCCAGCAGAGTTCCTTGTCAGAACGCCCCTCAGAACGGATGGTTTTGATGCCGAGTTGCCTACACTCGTTCAGGATGTCAGAACGGTCGTCAATGAGACAATGTGCCTGAAGAGCGGAGATGATCGAGGATTTGCCCTGCCTACCGCAAGGATAGCGTGCCAGGTGCACTTCTCGAAACGGCAATCCCTCCGAAATGAGCTGGCTAATCACGTGCTCAGCGCCTGCCTTGGTGCTTTCAATCTTGGACTGGCCGGCGTATGAGACAATGTGGAACTCGATTTGATTACCAGCAATCCTAGTCAATGACCGGAGCTTATCAACTAAGTGGGAAGACAATTCACCTACGGGGTTGAGAGCCTGGTCAATGGTATCGTGCCAGTCGATACAAACAATTACGTTGGATGTATTAACGTGGACTACCTTAGAGACTAAGTTGGGTTGGTGCTGGTAATGTCGCGGCACGGAGCCAGCGACCCCCTCTGGCCGATCTGGTGTTGGGTCAGGCAAAGGCCGCCCACGGACGTGGGGTGCAAGGCCAGAACCTGAACTTTGCTCTTGATGCGGCTGCTGCTGTCCTTCGGGATCAAGTGGAGGAAGATCTCGGGACGGTTGACCAGCAGGTCTTGGCCCACTCACTCCTGGCGGAGGGGGTTTTACGGGCTTGAGATTAGCTGGATTAGGGGGAACAGGCCTATTAGGTCTTGGGGGAATTACCACAGGTGCAGCAGGTGCTGCAGGTGCAACTGGCGTCGCAGGTGCAATGTGCACAGGCGGATGCTTCCAAGGCAGATTCTTCTTAGGCTCTGGAGCTGGTGGTAAGGGTTCTGGCCTTTGGGGCGTGTCGGGGACAGCAGCCCCCTTTGCACGGATTGGCACAGGAACAGAACTAGCTCTTTTGCGAGTCTTAGATGAAATCTTATTTGAAATTGGTACTTCCCTTCCCCTTGTTCTGGCAGCAACTGCGGGCGCAGTCTCGGCTGAGGGTGCTCTTGACCTGGATCGGGCAACGGGAGAGCCGGCTGGCTCTGATGCAGTCTCTGTCGCGACACGGGTTGTGTCAGCGACCCCACTTCCAGCACTTTGCAAGGACTGCCTCCAGGGAGGATAAGCTGAACTACTAGAACTGCTTAATGGGGGAACAGTCAAAGATGGTACTGTAGGGGCTGCAGGTGGTGGTGCAGCAGAAACTGGATCTTTTCTGGGCTGTGCCGGCTTATCACGTTGGATTCGGGAGGTTCTTATGTTAGGACGCTGTCTCTTTGGTGGAGACTCAATTGGACGGGCAGGGGTGCGCTCAGCAAAGCCAGCGTCGAAAGGTTCTTGCTGGCCGACAAATGCCTGACCTGATGAAACAAACCTGGCGGTTCGAGTCTCAGCTGTTTCAGAGCCCTCAGATTCGGTACCGGGGTTATTGGTGTCAAGATTATAAACACTATTGGGGTCTAAATTACTTGAACCAAGAACAGTACGATGGGATCTAAGTGCAGGATCACGCCACAACGAGTCGGGAAGCTCGTGTGGGTTGACCCCAAGCTCTGGTGCCACGGCGTGCGGCACAATGAACGGCAAAGTCTGCGGCGCGTACGCGATCGGAGGATCAGCGACCCTAGCCCAGGTGCCAGCGGAGTCAATTCTAATTTCGGGGTAACCGTGTACTTGGGGTCTTAAAGCAAGAGGTCTTCTAGAAACACCGGTTATGGCACGGGCTCTATAAAGTTCTTGATTAAGTTCGATTCGTTCACGGGTTTCCCTTGGGACTAGATTGACAGGCAATGGCGGATTGGACCTAGTTCTTTTAGGCCTACGACGGCGCGTGGAAACCTCACGGCCGTGCTCGGTTGTTGTAAAGTCAGGGAATTCAGGTTCTTCCTCCGCCTCAACCTCAACTTCAACTACCTGGTCCTCCTCAAAAACTTCCTCTTCCTCCTCCTCCTCCACCCACTGCTCCTCTTCAGGCGGTGGATCGTTGGGATCCTCCGGAGCAGCCTCTTCTCGCGCCTCTGCAGGCTGGGGGTCGCGGGCAGCGAGCTCCTGTGCAGTTGGCGGCGGATGAGATGGTGGTGGTGGTAAAGGTGGTTGTTTATGAAGGGTCGGACTAGGGGGAATGTTACTAGGTGGAGGTGGCAAACTTTGAATCCTATCTGCAAGGGTTGTGGCACTAGAATCAGGAGCTTTAGGCCTAGCTTTAGCTGGTGGCTTAGCAGGGCTAGCAACTGGGACTGGTGCTACGTCGCGCCCAAAGGCAGCGACCCCTTGAGAATCTGACTTTGGGGCTTGTGGGACTGGATGGACAGAGACAGTAACCCTCGGACGCGGTGGCACTGCTGGCTCAGGTGGTCTTCTCAAAGAAGGTTGCCAGTTCGGCGGTGGATGCCCAGGCTCTTTTGGCCCTTGCTGGGCCGGAGTTGGAACTGTGCTTCCACTTGCCGCGCCAGCAACGGGTGTTGCGGCAGCAGGCCTTTCCGCTTTTGGACGGGGTTGCTGCTGTGGGCCTGTGTATCTATAATACCTATCCCACTCCTCTGGGCGCGGGTGCTCTGCCCCTAAGATACGTTGATTGATGATCCTTTTTTGGGGGTAGTTCACCAGAGTTAATCACTTGTTCACCGTGTGAAATACCTCTGCGCCTGTCCAAACCGTAAATGTGTGCCCACTCTTTATATGGGATGAGGATTTGATAGGCTAAAGCCAAACACTGTGATGTTGGGAACTCCTCAACAAGTCTTGAATGAAGAGCTATCAACCAGCGAGTGCTTTCGTCGGCTTGTTCGTAAGGAATCTTTCTTAACCAAAAGCCACCTACGATATCCCCTCCAGAATTATGATAAAGCCAATTTTGGTATGCCTCGAAGTCGTTCCACCAAGCTCGCTTTGCTTCTTGCCACCTGGTTGTGGCACCACCCCTACTTGACCTAACCCTCTGGCGTGGGGGATTAGATGAAGTTGCGGGGGAATGGCCTACCTGAATAGGTTCGGTGCCGGGTTCAACAAGATTAGGGCTAGTTGGTGGTGGGACTATTTGATCGGGGCAACTAGTGTTGGCTTCTGTCGCGACACCGGATGTGTCAGCGACCGCAGGCTCAGGCACGGATGCAGATGGTTCGGATGCACCGGATGCTTCTCCTACTGGACCCGCCTCGTCACCCAAACCTAAAAGATCGGCAGATTCAACCTGTTGTTGTTCTTCTTCAGCTGGATCTGCAAAATCTGTTGTGTCAATCTCGTCGGCTTGTTCCAAAAGAGTTGAAGAATCTTGTTGAGGATCTACTTCTTCTTCTTCTTTTGCTCGATCAATGTCCGTGAAAGCAGCTTCCGCTGGGTTACCCAAATCAGAAGGTGGTTCCAAAAATGACTGATCTTGAAGCGAAGTGTCAACCCCAGTCTCCTCCGTCGCGACGGGATCGTCAACAACCTCTTCTGGCAAGCCAATTGCTGAGATTACCGCACTGATGCTCTCGGCCTCGTGGATCTCCTCCTTAACCTCTACCAGTGATCGTTCCTGGTCTGCAGAGTCTGTCGCAATGGAGTCGAAACCAGATGGCGCGGGCGCTTGTACCTCAGACAGATCCGCCCAGGAGGTAGAGGCCTCAGCTATCGATCCGGCAGGCAACGGAGCTGATTGCTCAACGTCTTCTGCAGCAGATGCGACCGCTTCAGCTCCACCCGCTGGAGTTTCAGTCGCGACGGAATCGTCAGCGACCTCACCGGACCCTTCTGAGGGCATGCAACAAAGAACAGTGAAGTGCGAAAAACAAAGTTAGGGCCTATGGCAAGTTTTACCGGATTAGGTTCCCCAACAAAAGCCTTACGGCTGATAACCAGTGAAACAGGGGGTCGAACCGGAAACCCAAACGAAAAGGGAAAACCAATCCGGCAACACCTGCATCAAACAAACAACCAAACGCCTTTTCTCGAAGGCGCTTGAGCCACAAACGTCGTAGACGTGCAAATGACCCACCCAGGTTATTGTTAGGATGGAATTACACTCTACTCTAATTAGTGGCTACCCTACCTATGTAACGCTTCTACATAGGTAGTGCTGTGGCTGTACATATCGGGGATATCTACTTTGGGCATGATGGACTCATAGCTAAGGCATACCTCTACTAGACCTACCTGCACATGCTATACATGGTGGGGCTCAGGGGTCGATATATTTCAACTATATATTGTCATATTCTGTAAACTTTGTATGAACATAGCACGCTCCTCTGAGACCCCAGCAGCATCTCAGCAGGGGCCGTGATGCTGGAAAAGCAAAGCCAGAGAGTGCCTTGCACGCCAAGGGCGACCCAGGGAAAGTCACCTTCTAACAGGGAGGATTCCGATGATTTTAATGGGCAAATCATGGTTAATTATATGGAATTCATATGAATTCACAGGAAATCATCGAACGAAATGGAGTGTACTTGAGTTTACCATTAAAAAAAGGGATGCGTGGCCACTTTGATGACTTTGAGTGTCGAAAACTTGGAATTTGCAATCAAAAATCAGGACTGTCCCATACAAAAGTTGGGGTATGACCAGGGTTTTGACAACAACAAACTGTACGTTGTCACAATCAGAAGTGGGGATTTTGTTTGCACCTGCAATCTAGCCTAGAGTAATGACTGGAAATACCTCATGAATGCATAGACATACATAGTGTTCCTATCAAACATGGGGATCTTCTCCAAGATGGCCGGCGTTGCAAAACATCTCCAAAAAGATTCTCAACCTATTTCAATTGGCAACTGTCCATTACTATCCATTACTAGCTTCAATTACCAAACAATAGCTGAGCTAGCGGCTGAAAGTGGTCACATTCATATCGTTGCAGCTGGGTTATGCCATGGATCTAATAATATCCTACGTGTTGGATGCCAGAATTCCTTGAAAACCCTGAAAACTGGTTGGTGAAAACCATTCTAAAGACCCATGGTTTCGTGCAAGTCTTCCCTTAAACCAACCCACTGATTTGACAACTCCAAACCTCAGAAAAACTGAGGATCCCGCCCTGAAAGCCATAGAACAGACCTGGGCTCAGTTTCGAGAAGTTCAGGGCTTGGGCCGCCCTTGCTAGTTCAACACAGCCTCCTGCACGTTTTTGAATGGAAAGAATAATGATAAGAAATACCTGGACCCTCAAGTGGTACGTAAATTTATGCTCGAGGGAAATCCTCACAAAAAACGCTCGAACTGCAAAAAGCGTGTGTTAGATTCAAAAAATGCTCAAGATTTTGAAAAATGCTCAAAATGTTCTGGAGATGTCCAAACATCACTTGTTACCCCACAAACCAGCAGCCCGCTTTGCCGTGGAAAAAATACTCTTTGAGGTATAGTCAAATGCTGACAGGCTTGAAGTAGTCAACCAAACAAAGGGGTCCAAAAGCCCTCATGCTCAGAATTGAAAAAGGGCCGATTTGAAAACGCATGTGGTACCTTTTTTGATTTGCGCTCGTTTGCGCGAATTTGCGCCCGTTTTGCGCCTAGTTTGTGCGCGCTCTAGCCTTGCTTTTTGAAAAATGCTCGGTTTGAAATGAAAAATGGCACCACCAAATCCACTGAAAATCAGCGCAGCGCAGTCAGCATTTAACAAACTACTTCAAGGCTGGTATTTTTGTGTTCAGTCCGATCTAGCTACGCATGAGTGCACAAGAAAAACACACTAGGGGATACTAGGGGCACATCTTGAGACCCGAGGGGAACCGGAACCAATGCAGCCCACAGGGGGCAAAAAATGTTCGAGTTTCAAAAAAACGCTTGAATAGCAAGAACTCAATCAAATTGAAATGTTGCGCTCGTTGCGCCAAATTGCGCTCGAATGTGGATGGGACGTAAATTAAAGTACCAATTGAGGGTCCAGGTAGTTAACAATGATTAATGATGATTGATGAGGTCAATCCCCTCGCCTCAACTTTCAAAACCCACACTGGACCATGATTGAACCATCCAACCCGTCATCCAAAATCTGGGATCTGCTGGGCTTCCAAGCCACGTCCTTTGGACTCCGCCAAAAACTTGGCCTTGTTCAGAAGCATGTCTTGATATTCGTTCAATCCAGGCACTCTCTGGATCCACTCAGGTTTCGCCTCGGCAGATGCCACGAAATATCGGGCTTTGAACGAACCACTTCAGCTTTCACTCACCCCAAAACCCTCCAGGACCGTCACAATTCACTGTCACATGGGATCATCCCAATTGAGCTCGCTGCTTCAAATAGAAGTGTCGTGGTGGCAAATGCAGCCTGTGAGCATCAGCACCAACGAATGTACCATCTGGATATGGGTCAAATGTACCAAGAAACATGTGATGTTAATCCGACTATGGAAATGAATGAAGGACCAAAAGTAAACAATATCCTTTGAGCAGTGTCAAATCACTGTGAGCCCATTGTAATCATCAACCAACTGTGTTTTTGTGAAACTGCTCACTCATATGGGTTTGCCTGAAAATGGAGCACCCGTCAAGTTCTTTATAATCCCTGTTCTTCATTGGAATTGTTTTTTTGGGGAACCCTATGTTTGGTCAAAACCACATCTCTTTGGGCATATCCCATTGTATGTCGCATTGATATCGAATTATCGAAGGAAGTTTAGAAGTCAAACTTCCGACAATATGGAGAGATGAAAAGCAGAGCAGGGAAGAGGCAGAGAGAAGAGAAAGATTAGAAGAAAGAAGAGTAGAAGAGAAAGAGTAAGAAGACAGAAGATGCAGATGCGCGAAAAGGTAGGAAAGTCGCGAAACACTGTGTTTCTCCAATGATTTGTGGCTCCGGAGGGTCGAAAAGTAGGCTCGCTAAAGCGGCGGGTGCGGAGCCAGCTGGCCAGATGAGAGATGAAAATTTGCACGCCGTTGTGGCGCGAAGCACATTTTGAAGTCAAAATGTACAAAACACACCAGGTCCGGACCACTTTTGGCAGTTGAGATGTTGAAAAAGTGCACGCCGTTGTGGCGCGAAGCACATTTCCAAGTCAAAAGGTTAAAAACACTAGGGGTTCGGACCACTTTTGGAAGTTGAGATGTCAAAAAAGTGCACGCCGTTGTGGCGCGAAGCACATTTCGAAGTCAAAATGTACAAAGCACACCATGTTCGGACCACTTTTACTAGTTGAGATGTCGAAAAAGTGCACGCCGTTGTGGCGCGAAGCACATTTCCAAGTCAAAATGTACAAAGCACCACATGTTCGCGCCACTTTTGGAGGTTCGGATGTTGAAAGAGTGTACGCCGTTGTGGCGCAAAGCACACTTCGAAATCAAAATGTACAAAACACTAGGGGTTCGGACCACTTTTGGAGGTTCAGATGTCGCTTCGCCGCTTCGCTTCACTACACTACACTACGTTACATTACACCACACTCCACTATACTACACTACATTACACTACACTACACTCCACAACACTAAAACTACAACTACACAACTAGACTACACTCCACTACACTCCACTACATTAAATTTCACTACACTACATTACACTACACTACGCTCCACTACACTACACTACATTAAATTACACTACACTCCACTGCACTACATTACACTACACTACGCTCCACAACACTACAACTACAACTACACAACTACATTCCACTACACTCCACTACACTAAATTACACTACACTACGCTACATTACACTACACTACACTCCACTACACTACACTACACTCCACTACACTACACTACATTACACGACACTACCTTCCACTACACTTCACTACACTACACTCCACTACACTAGAACTACAACTACGACTACACAACTACAATCCACTACACGAAATTACACTACACTACACTACATTACACTACACTACACTACATGCCACTTCACTCCACTACACTACATTACACTACACTACAATACACTGAATGACACTGCACCACAGATAGACAGGTAGACAGATAGATAGATAGATAGATAGACAGGTAGACAGCCAGACAGCTAGACAGATAGACAGATGAAAGAGAGATAGAGAGAGAGAGAGAGCGATAGATAGATAGATAGATAGATAGGTAGATAGGTAGATAGGTCGATAGGTAGATAGGTAATTAGATGAAAGAGAGAAAGAGAGAGATAGATAGCTAGATAGATAGATAGATACATAGAAGATAGATAGGTAGGTAGATAGTCAGATAAAGAGAGAGACAGAGAGGAGACCTCAAGCACCTTTCAGTCCATCAGTGGCTTCGCCCTGCCATCCCTGATTCACAACAACCAACCTCTCCTATAGGTTTTCTATTTTTGAAACTTCCGCCACCGCCTTGTGCGGTACTACTGGTACCCTGTTATGGTTGGTACCCTCTGGTAAACTAACATAGCTATTGAAAATTGCCATTTATAGTGAGTTTTCCTATTAAAAATCGTGATTTTCCATAGTTATGTTAGTTTACCAGAGGATATTATACCTCATGTTTGATGATTTTTCTCCCTATGGATCCAAATGGACCCGTTGAACACGCCTGGTACAAATGCACCACGTACTTTGGAATCCTCAGTGGGGTGTCCCACTGTCCCACGCTGAAAAAAAACCACCCGCAGTTGTGTCATCCCTACTGTGGATGGAAGAAATCCTGCACCAGTTGGTAGATGGTCAACATCCCAATATAATCTCTAATCTCTTTATTCACAGCGTTTCAGAGTTAACCAATAGTGACAAAGTGATCAAACTGCTGGACGTGGTCACTTCTTTGGGACGTGGATTGTCCTAATATCTACCACAACTGGGAGACTTTGGTGCTAAGAAACATGGGATCATAGGATCCTATCTGGAAGCGGAAAGCTCCAAGAAATCAATTCAAAAAAATCTACTGCGGTGTAAAATTCTTGGGGGTTCCGTTCATCATTGTAAATCATCTTTGGGGGTCACTTCTGATTAAACAAATCACTCTGAAATCATCACTTCTGCTGAAAACCATTGTGTGTCGCTCTGAGAAAGCCCGCATATTTGTTGGTGGATGGATTTCTTCTGGGATATCTATTTGGCAATGTCAATGGCCATCATGCCCCAATATGTCAACATCAATCCCAACTTTTGCTGGTTGCTCTCTACACTTCAATGCACTTCATCAGTCTTCATAATATGCACAAATCACGATCGTTTCGCATTGTTTCAACCATTTGGCCAGAAGTGCAACTGGATATGGGCCCAAAATGTTGTAGTACGTATCGCGAAATCGAAACCGGATGAGTTTGTCCGAAAATAGGGTAACGCTGATTCCAATGGATTGTTATCAATGTTCCTGTTAAGATTGCCATTTTAGAGGTATATACACGGAAACCCATAATCCTATGTTTTTTTGTCAAACGACCTTGACCATATGTTTTTTTTTGTAATTACGGTTTTTATCGTCTGGAGCCACTTGTGTGAGAGTTGCCACGGCTTTTTACGGTTTTTTTTCCAACAAAATGTCGAAAAAAAATGTGGTTTTGCTACGGGTAGGCTTGTGTGAGAGCTGCAACGGATTTTTACGTGTTTTTTTCAACAAAATGTCGAACAAATACGGTTTTGCTATGGGTAGGATTGCAATGTTCTTTTGATTTGACCTTTTTTTTTTGGTCATGACGGGTAAAAACAACATGTTACCAAAAACTGATCATATTTGTTTGTTCCCATCATGACCAGAAAATTTGGTGTTTTTGGCTTTCCAGGATATGTATATATATATATATTATGATTCTATATATGATGCTACATTACATACCCCGTTTTCAGATCCAGATGGTTTACCAAAAAAAGGACCCCAAATCTGCAGTCCCAACTCAGGCGAAGGCTGCATGGATGCCGAGACGGGATGAAATAACTCAGTGGTCGTCCCATGATGAAAACAGAGGGATTTGACCATCAACCATGGGGGGGGTTCTCAGTTCAACCATGAAAAATCAGGATTTAACACGATTTTTGTGTATGTTTGACTTGTTTGACCATTGGATTTGGGGATTTCCCAAAATGGTCAGGAAAATCCCAAACTGATGGTTTCAATACCAAGACAGTCCAACAATTTGGGGATACCTCTATGTTAGGAACCCCCAGTTCTTTGTATGAGTCGTCATATGGGTCAGATTTGTGGACCAATCCTGGAACCACAAATGTTGTTGTCATTTTCATTGCAACTACTCATATACCATCTGGATATTTAACATAGCTATGGAAAATGGCCCATTTACAGATGATTTTCCAATTAAAACCTCGATTTACCATGGATTTTCCATAGCTATGTTGAATAACCAGATGGTAGGTGTATTGCAATTTTGACCCGAACCCCTTCTATGCAACGAGCACTTCCCCATGACATACCATTGAAATTCTCCAACTGCAACTTGTCAGACTTGTCAGATCCAAATCTTTGTCGGTCATTCCATGGGGCCTAACATGGCCTAAGAAGTGGATCACTTCAAGACATATTGCTGGTTCGATGGTTGAAAAATGGTCAAGTTATCTGGTGTCCCCTTCTCCCAGCGGCCCCAGCGGGTATCCCACCCGCGAGTTTGCTGTTGATAATTAATCCCCTGTGTTCCGAACGCTACAGTATCATTTCTGCTGAGTTTGGCCAGTTGCGACATCAGTATCATCACTTTCCTTTTTACCACTTGCAACCGCATTGTGAAAAAGAAAACAACATCAGCAGACGTGTCCAAAGACTTACTGTATTCATAAGCACTTGATGGGTGGATATCCATGATGCATAGCTATGTTCGAGTTCAACCCATACTCCGAGTTACTTACATCCCCGTTTTAGTGGTGTCGATACCCTTATCAGAAATATATGACGATCATGACGATCATACACCAGATGATAACTTCGGCTCTCCAAATTTCTGGCCAGTTTAGCTCATTAAATCATATCTTATCACCATCTTAGTAACTTAAATACCACTCCTAGTGCCTTAAATGCCAATTTTTCGTGGCTCAAATACCAGTACTGGTCTAAACGCCCATTTTGCTGGCTTAAATGCCAATCTTAATGGCTCAAATACCAATCCTAGAGATATGTCTGGATATTTGATCCCAAAATCTTCTGCCAGATTGGTCCAAGGAGCTCCCGTCAGCACCCAGATGCATTGCACCAACGCTGCAGCACCACCAATGAAGGCTAAGATCTCGGCGCTCAAAAATCATGGTTAATCTACGAAGAATCGAATTTCAGTAGAAAAAAAAAAGGTTGGGAATGTAACAAGCAAACATATGCAAAAATAAGGTCTGCAAAAATGTTTTCGTGCAAAAAATAGTGCCCACCTGCAAACTTGGAATTTCATCAAAATCAGTGAGAGAATATGGTATAAAGTGATGTCCCAAAGTGGGACAATCTTTAGATTGGGGGGGTTGGTTGATACCACGTGTCATCAACAGCCGCAGCATTCAGGTGGTCCCAAAATATGCCCAACAGATCATCCGGATGATGGATACTTTTAAAACCACCAACCAAATAATATACACATCCAGCTAGTACTACAGGTTGTCTGTAATCAAACATGTGTATATATATATATATAATTAAATTACATTATATGTATAGATTATATATATATATATGTATGTAGACGTTACGCATTTATTTTTTGAAAATGTGGATGATCAAGTCGTCCTACACTTGAAATCGAGAAGTGTAACAAGTTTTCTTTTGGAGAAGAATAGCATGGCCCCTGCGCATTCACTTGTAGCAGCATGGCCTTCCTGCCAAGGATGACACGCACAGACATGTGCACTCTTTTGTTCATGGCTCAAGAAAAAGGAGACCCTGCGCACTCCGACTGACTGACCTGTCGCTTCACAGGTTATGAGCCCAAGGGTCCACTGAGGCTCTTGGGTGCCATGTCGATGCATCGGCGACGGCACTTCAGAGCCGAAAGCGCAGATGAGAGGTTGGAGAGACTGATAGCCATGGAGAAGAGGGCGAAGTCTTCACCTCCTGCAGAAGAGCGGCAGCCTGAGATGAGAAGGCTGAAAATGGTCCCTGAAGGGAATGAGGCGGCAGCGGCATCAGCTTCGGATGGTCGTCGAGATGAGACTGGACGAGCACGGGGTGCAACGCTGGCTGCTGGTGGGAGAAGAGCTGAAGCTGAAGGAGATGGGAGCCGTGGTCGTGAAATGACCAGGCCGGTGAGTCTTCCTTTGGAGCTTGGTCCAGTTCCTCCTGCACCTTCTGGGATGTTGGCGCCACTTTTTCAAGATGTACTTCAAGGTCCGGGAAGTGTTGGACATCGAGCTCTACTGGCTGGTGAACTTCAACATGGACGTTCTGACCAAGTGCAACGAGGCGATCAAGGAAATCGTCTACTAGCCTTGGACGGTCAAACAACGGTGAGAAGGGGGTCCGGTGATGTGAATCCCTTCTGGAGCTCAGAGGCGAAGAAAGATGTGTTCGCTTCTGGTCAAGGACGTCTTCCAAGTGACGTCAACCTTGCTCGTAGCTTGCAACCGGTGATGGATGCTGCGGGGAGTGGCCGGTCTGGCCTGGACTTGGATGAAGGTGAGTTGGAAAGGATCAGACAGAGGGTCCTACGTGAGGCTGAGGAGAACTTCAAGATGGAGATCAGAAAGCTGAAGGGTGAAGGTGGGACGGATTCAAGGTCCTATCACTCGGCTTCGTCTGGTGGTGATCAAGGAGCTCCTCATGCGGCTCAAGGTGATCGAGCTGGTTTGGGGTCGAGTACAACACCGTCCAGAGGGGATCGCGTGGGCTTGGCTTCGATGGCAACTCCAATTCATGGTGGAGCTGCAGTGAATGGAACTCCGGGTCAAGGTCTTCAAGGAGTGGTTTCTCCTCCGGGCTTGGATCAACGGGGATTTCTTCAAGGTGGTGTTCAAGGTGGACATGGGGAGTCGTTGAAGAGTCACGAGCTTCCTCCTCTACCTGTACCTGGTTCGGAAGGGGCCTCACTCGCCTTTGGAGACTGGCTTGCACTTGCCGGTCCACAAATGTCGGACATCGGAGCGACTTCAAGGGATTGGTGGCTCTTTGTCTTGCAGCAGGTGGAGACGTTCTACGAGAGGTGGTTGGTCGCTGGCCCAGTGGATCGACTACGTCTACGTCCTGGGGATGTTCTTCTTCCTGTGGATTTCCAGCGGGTTGAACAGCGTGGGGTGTCTATGCTTCTGGCGGCTTGTCCTGAGATGATCAAGCGAGACTTGGTGGCTTCCAGAACTTTGACATCAACTGGAATCCTTTTTCGAATGTTCACGGTGTATCAACCTGGTGGTGGAGTGGAAACGGCAGCACTTCTCAAGCAGGTGACTGAGCCAAAGATCGGGTCGTCAGTGGTGGACCTTCTTGGAGGGCTTCGTCAGTGGAGGAGGCTGTTGGGTCGGGCTGCAGAGCTACGTTTGGCTCTTCCTGATCCTGTGGTGCTTTCGTCGGTGCTGGGTCGCATGGCGGACGCTTTGGCCAAGGTTGGTGGTCTTCAGGTGGGCTATCGCATCTCAGCGGTGAGGCAGGAGCTCATGGTGGATACCCGGCCGACTATGGAAGCGGTGAGGGACTATGCTGAGGTCCTGCAGGCAGAAGCTGAGGAGTTGGCGCTGGTGACGAACTCAAAGATGTTCTCTACGGCATCAACGGCTGCTCCAGTTTTGAAGGCTCTTCAAGTGGCCGATCAGGATGGTTCTTCAACTTTGCCGGCATCAACCAGCACAAAGGGTCCATGCAGATACTGGAAAACCGATGAGGGTTGCAAACGGGGTGCGGCTTGCACTTTTCAGCATGACATGGAAGGAATGCGTGGCCGGTGTTGGTCATGTGGGGGCTCAAATCACCTCAAAAAGGATTGTCCTCACAAAACAGCTTTGGGTGGCATCAACGGCGGCGATACCAAAACGCCGAGAAGGGTCAGTAAGATCAAGGAAAAGATGACTCCGGAGAAGGGTAGTCCTGGTGTAGCTCAGGGGGAGAAGGTCGCCAAGGTGGTTGCACAGGATGAGATCAAAGGGGCATCAACGGATGGGGTTGCAGCTGAAAAAGAGCCTGTGAAGGTTCCGGTGTCTGTTGCTCCTGCTCAAGTTCAAGAAGCTCCCAAGGAGACGGCGGCAGATCTGATGAAGGAGGCTGCAAGCCTTCTCAAGTCTCTGAGGAGCGTCAAATCGATCAAGTTGAAGCAGGTGATCTTGGACGAGAGCTCTGGTGTGGGCCAATGGGCACTACTGGATGGTGGTGCTACTCACGCACTTCGGCGAGCTCGGGTGGATGAGCTTGAGGGCCTTGTGGCAGTCGAGGTGGAGCTTGCCAGTGGTTCTACAACTTTGTATCGCTCCAAGGATCATCAAACTTTGTTGTCTTTGCATGAGGTGGAACCAATTCTTCCTCTTCACTTGCTGGTGTCAAAGGGCTACAGGGTGGTGTGGAAAACGGAAGGCTGTCGCATTTCCCATCCAACGTATGGCCAGGTGAATTGCTCCATGAGACAAGGGTGTCCAGTTATGCCAAGAGCGGAAGCACTGGAAATGTTGCATTGCTTTGAGACGGAGGAGAAGCTGGGCATGTACCTCAAGGAGACGGAGCGCATCTGGTGGAAGGAACACTTTCCGGAAGTCCCAGAAGAGGTGCTTCGACATATGGTGGGTCAGGGGGAGGATCCAATGGTGTGGACATGCCCTTGGAATAGAAGGCAGCGTCGGGGACATCGTCAAGGAAAGGGCGTGGTGGTGCACTTGTTCTCTGGGGCAGATCCATCGGTTTGGACCAAGGAGAACTGGGGGAGCTACCAGTGCATCTGTGTAGACACGGCGATGGGTTCCCAATTCAACATACACCATCCTGGAGTGTGGGCTTATTTGCGGAAGCTTGCAGAGGGTGGCTACATCAAGGCTGTGATCGGTGGCCCACCTTGCAGGACCACAAGTCGATTGAGAAATCGTGGACCTCCGGGACCCAGGCGTCTCCGTGGAAGAGACGATGAGCGGTGGCACCTGGATCACTTGGATCCCTTCGAGTTGGAACTTGTCAACAGCGACAGCGCACTGATGTTGAAGCACATGGCGCTGTGGGTGAAGTCAAATGAATGCCGGACTCTGCCAATGGAGCCAACTGGTTTTTTCATGGAGTCCCCCGAGGATCCCAAGGACTACTTGGAGGATGAGGAGGAAGCCAAGATTTGTCCGAGCTTCTTCAACTTCAAGGAGGTCCAGCAGTTCGTCGGGAAGGAGGGCCTGATCTACTTTGCCTTCGACCAAGGTCAAACCGGGCATCGCAGGAGGAAACCAACTGGTATTGTCACCAACTTGCCGGAGATGTCTCAACTGGCAGGACTTAGAGGTGGAGGTGTCACAACTGCGATTCATGGTGGGCTCGGTGAAAGGATTTTGGCATCAAAGCCATGGGCGGAATGGAGTCCAGGTTTGGTGGCTGCGGTCAAGGAGACCCTCAAGATGTATCTGGACATGTTGGATGCCCATGGAGCTGAAGTTCGATCAGATCCACAACTTCGAAAACTGGATATGGCATCATGGCGGAAGCATGTTCGACAGCAGCATGTTCCTTTCAGAAAAGACTGCAGGGTGTGCCTGGAATCAATGGGCACTTCACATCCTCATCGAAGAAGCCACAATGCTTCTTCATCCTTCACTATGTCTCTGGATTTGGCAGGGCCATACCAAGTTGGGCGAGATCTGGGAACCGGGAAGTCTTGTAGGTACATGATGGTGGCGGTTGTTCCAATTCCAGTACTACATGAACTTCCGGTGGCACATGAAATCCCTGATCTTCAGCCAGAAGATGTTGAAGAGGCCCCTGAACATCCAGAAGAAGAAGAACCAGAGGAGCCGGTGGAGGATGTAGAGCAGGACGTGGTGAACGCCTTGAATGAGAAGGCGAACATTGAGGAGATGGCTGAACCTGCATCGGTTCAAAATGTGACGCTGATGGAACGGGTCCAATCTCGACATGTGGACCATCTGGTTGCAGCGATGTCCAAACTTCATGCCAAATACCGGATGTTGGGGATCAATGTCATGCGGCTGCACACGGACCGCGAAAAGTCTTTTCTTCATGCCAAAGTGCAGCGGTGGTGCGAGCAGCGCCAGCTGGTCCAGACGATGACGTCCGGTGATCACCCGGCAGCCAACGGCCGGTGCGAGGTTGAGGTTGGACAGCTGAAAAGACGCTTGAGGCTGATGCTTCATGAGTCTGAGGTAGATGCTGCACTGTGGCCATGTGCGGCCCGACATGCGGCCGAAGAGAGGTTCCGTCTTCAAGTTCAACGTCTTGGGCTTTCGATGAAGCCAATGCTGAGGTTTGGTGCTCAAGTAGCGGTGAAGGTGAAAAGATGGCATCGCCGGGCCCAACCTTTGTCCAATCCTTTCAGGTCGATGCAGCTTCTTGGTCCATCACCTTTTATGTCAACTGGATGGATCACCAAGGATGAGCACAATGTGACGCATGTCCGGACGGCCATTATCCCGGATCCTGATGGTGATGAGGCACAGCTGGAGCTTCGTCAAATTGATGCTGGTGGTGGTCGCGGAAATCGGGGGAGGAGATTGATTGGAAAACAGTCCGATGATCCTCATCCCCTTCAAGGAGCTATGCCGCTGTTGTTTGAGCAGCCTCGTGCGGAGCTAGCTGGACCTGCCCTTATCAAGATGCGGGCAGGGGGGGAGACTGTTGGAGGTGAAAATCAAAAAGAAAAAGAAAAAGTTTTTGACCCAAAATCCTCCTTGTCTTCCTCAACTGCATCCCCTTCGAGTGGCTCTGACTGTGGCATGGTGGAGTGTTCAAACTGTGGTCTTCGCCAACCGCTTCAATGTGGGCATTTTGGGGACTACGAGATTGTGGATGAGGCCGCTGTGAAGGCCTTGAAGGTTTCTGAGGGGTTCGACGCTTCAAAGAATGTGGAGGTCCAAAAACCCTTTGCAGTGTCTGAGTATGTCGGGGTGGCTGAATACTCCGATGATGATGAGCATGGTGGCAACTGTGGTTTCTGTGGTGAGCGGTTGGAGTTGGGCTTTCCTGGAGAGATAGTAGTTCCGGGGGAGCACACTGAGCCTCTTCAACACTGCTCTTGGGCCGAGGCTGAGTTGTTCCATGAGATCGAGGTGGAGGAGCACGGAGCGTTGAAGTCTCTGTGGATGGAGGAGCTTCGGAAGGTGGCTGTCGGTGAAGATGAAGGGATGAAACAGGGCCGGGTCTTAGAAGAGCTTGAGACGGAGCTGGTGATCCGAGAAGCCCACCTGGAGGAGCAGCATCTTTGTCTTCATCAACATCGGTTGGCATCATTGTCTTTGCCAACACCTTCAACCGATGGGCCTCCTGCAGAGCTTCCTCAACCAGTTCTTCAAACCTATACGGTCCCCTTGCAGCAGGTCAAACGAGATTTGGATGCTTGGGTGCCTGCCTTGAAGGCAGAATATGGTTCTCTGACGGGAACGGGGGCAATCCGCCCA